TTCTTCTCGCTGTCGTCTTTAACAATTTTTATCATCGAACATATTGATAAGACATGGCATGTAATAATTTATTTTCATTCTCCAGCGCAACGCTTCTCAAACGTGGAGCATAAAAATTGATGTTAATGAAGGTGACTTTTTCGTCTAAATGAGTAAGGACCCTATTAATTAATATATTGACTATACTATATTGATGGCGGTGAGGTCACCTGTTCTGTTGGACTACATATAAATAAGAGACAGCGCAGATTCAATTGCGCGAAAAACAAAAATGACGAAAACTAACCCACAAAAAAATCAGAGAGCAAACCACAAACGACCGGATTTCACTGGTCAAGATTATATAATGAAGGTACGGCATCCACGTCCACGACAACAAAACAAGAAAACGCGCGTTTGCGTAAGGTGCATGAAAACGGCGATAGAGCTCGATGGACTGCACAAGAAACTTGATTCCGTGACCCAGATACTCGACAATTTCGGCGTCACAAACGTAGAAAACAAATATACGTATAGTCATTTTGTAAGTATATAATAACGTGTATTCAATATTGTAACTTGTTTGCTTTTTTTTACAACTCATACTTTCCTTTTCGCACGCAGTCGGCAGAGGCCTTGGTCGAATTTTCAAAGAAGGTGGTCATAATCTGTGAATCCTCAACAAACAAATCATGACGAAAGATTCGGTAACGAATACAAAGGATTAACCGAGAGTTATATATTACAGTATGTTGCTTGGTTTGTGCCACACAGATCGCCATAATATTGGCAAATAAACAAGATACGCTATTCTGTCTTTCTAAGTCTTCAAATGATCCCATTAGCCACGCTGTAGTCCAGCAATGAATGAAACTATCGCTACCCGCTTTATATCACCGCTCTCCTCTATCCTGGGATATGTATCCCGCGCTTTTTTCTATCAACTCATTCTTCCAGCATCAGTTCTCTCCGCCCGTTCCACAACCTCAAGTCCATAATAATTTAATGATACGCTGAAGGTTCTCGGTCGGTCAATAGTCGAATGGATCCATACATATATGTTTATAGGGATAATAGCATAATAGCATTATCAACATAGCGCGTATCGTCCGTAAATCGGCTTTTGAAGACGAATTTAGGAATGCTTATTAAATTCATCATCATTGATGTCATTGTAAATGCACGTCTTATTGGCATGTCCATTGCGATATCGTATACGGCCCAGCTGTCAAGATGATCATATAAGAAGGGAAATTCCTGTGCAAACAAGTATTTTTTGAATAAAGTTATCCACCCCCATAAGCATTGGCGCAAAAATTGAAGGCAACGTGATCTGATCTCGTAGATGATATTTAAACTGATTGGTCTCGCTCATACAAAGTGCTTGTGTGTAAGTGCCAACCCTTTTTTGTCTTGATATCCGCTTACACCTAAGTGTCTGGGAATTTCTCTGTCACGTCATAAAACGACCCCAACCACCTAACATTTCTTTCATTCCTAGCTAACAGTATTATATGTTATAGTCGCTGAGCTAGACTAATCGGCATAAAGAAAAGTTTCAAGTAAAATATAGTTGACAATATACAATACGTGAATAGCAGGACCCTTCATCAAATATCACATGATCTGCTGATCTGAGAATTTCATATGTTTTACAGCTCAATAATATTCCCAGACTCATGCCGTCTATTTACAGACGCTCATTTCCCTCTATTCATAACTTTTGAGCAAAAGCTGACCATTAGACCAGAGTTGGATACAGGTGATGAAGACGATGTGGAAGGATCTCGACGAAGGTTATCTTTCATCAAAAAGGAACATTTTTGTAAACTATAATCTCTTTCGGAAAAGATATTGGGATCATTTCGATCATGATAGTAAACGAAACTTTGGACTACGGACTAGTTTACTCCGAGTTTGCCGTCATCAAGGTCTGTAAAAAATCGGTTCTTCGAACGCTGTGTTTATATTTAGTCTTATTCAGGGCACGAATCCGGTGGATCATTTATGCATTATAACCGTGATCAGGTTTATGTTTTGTTTCTGCAATACCACGAAATGGTGATCATGACTCGATAGATCGGTAAGGCTCAGATAACTTGTAAGAGCTGGCAAAAAGAAATACCATTTCTAGGATAGGAATCTCACAAATTTTCAACCCATCTTCCGTAGAACATTGGCTATCTTGCGTTGTGCCAAAAAGGAAGCACTTGGCGGCCCACACATTCATGAAGTGAATGTCAAGACAACAATATTCCGATTTTGCGCTTATTTTAGAAATCCTCGACCGTATCGACAGCATTTTTTTGGCTGCAATGTATTGCCGCAGGATCTTCATTCCGATTTCAGGGTACGCGCAGAAAATTGTGCAGACATGCGTTCTTTGATTACAAATGGGAATGTAAACGTTCTGAAAAATACAAATTGTGTGGTGTCACAAAGCCAACAGTTAATTTCCCACAATGGAATACTTCAACTTGCAGCACATCGATTGTTGGTATCATACACCATCCTTTCCCTGATTGTATCGATAGTTTGAAACCTGACTGGCGAAGTTGGTGGTCCGCGCCCCGTAGTTGTCAGCGATGACTTGTCCACGAACGAGGGTTACAAACAATATCGAATTTGGCACCCAACAAGTCATTATTGTGCGCAACAATGCAACCAATTTATATGTGAAAGAACAAATTTGCGATGCAAGGCATGGAGTTTAACGATGTGCTTTTATTTAATCTCTTCACTGATTCATCGGCCGGCTCCAAGGTAAATTGTTTGTTTTTTACATCATCTTATTGAATTTATTTGGATCGTATTTGTGAAAACATCAATCTATTACAGTGGCGCGGTCATTCTTCTAAGGGAATCCGAACGTTCTCACATGAAAAGCATTATATTCTTTCCCACGAGTTCAAAAATCTTTACGTTGCCATAACCAGCACATATGGATATTCGATGAAGATGCTGAACGGGTGCGAATCGTAACCTCGTCAAAGTAATGATGAAATTGGTACTATGTCCGCTCTGGCGAAGAAGAGCACCAAAGATGAGTGGAGGAACGAACAAGAAAAAGCTTTTTTCGAAAAACAAAAATACGATCTGGTGACAAATCGTTTCAGAGTATCCATTTTTTTGCGAGCTAATTATGTTGACTTACGTTATTTAGGCTGTTTTCTGCTTTGGAAAGGACAACGATAATATTAGATATGACTTGCAATGCATATCGTCTTGAGCAAATCGCCAAGTCATCCGTAAACAGTTCTGATGTCGCTACCATTTCATTGCTGCTGCAGCGGCGTTCAAAAAATGTTCCCGGCCTATTCAAGAAGGGCAGCAACCAGCCCAAAAAATCGCAAAAACTAACCTTTATGTTATGAGGTAAATACTAGTGTCTTATATTTGGTTGATGATAAACATGGCCGTTTGAGACATTACCCGCCTACATGACTAACCTGATATAACCGCAAACGCCCAGACTATCATGAAGCTGGTAAAATTTATGCAGAATGCGACAAGTTTGAAGACGCTGCACGCTGCTTTTTTGATGCAAAAATATGGCTTACAGCGGGAGAATATTATGAAAGAGCAAAGAAATATGCTCAAGCCGCGGAGGCTTGTGGTCATTGTGACATAGTAATCGATTTGATGCAAAGGTAAGTTCATAGTACGTTTAACTGTCGAGAATGAAGCTGATACTTATACGCCAATAAAAGCTGTAGGCAAGAAATCGACATGACAAGCTTCTCGCGTATGATTCGTGTTGTATATACTTACTATCGTCGGAGTAAAAATGAGAAGATGAGAGACAAGGCGCTTTCTGATTTCCTGGAACTTTGTGAAGAGAATGCACAATTTCGCGTCGCAGCCGAACACTTACGCTCTCTTGGTAAATTTGAAGAAGCATCTA